GAGAAACCCTCAGAGAGGTAACATCGCTAAGGTGGGCGTTAAGTGAACGCAGTTTGCCATCTTGTGTGACGCCACTCGCGAATTGTTGTCGCGAAACTTAGACACGTGGTTCCTTTGTGCATGCGGTCTACAAACCCTCAACCCAGGAGGCTGAACGAAACAAGGTAGGTGACCTTTTGATGCGTTTGTCAGCTTCGATCCAAGTTTTAATATTTTTTTTGGAATTGTAAAATCGCCGCGAAAAAAGGTGTTTTCAAAGCCTTTACGTCCAACATGCATGCGTCCTGGCTGCTAGTGAAAAAAATCATTTTTCTAATTCTGTTCACTAAATTTTTTTGAATAAACAACAAAATGTAACCATGACACCGAAATATATCATGCAAAAGTGATCAACCACATTTATGTAAGTAACTATTTTTTAATTAATTTTTAGATTATTGGATTAAAATGGGCAGAAACTGAAATCTTGAACACACCACGGATACGAAGAGTGTCTTAACCGCCTTAGACGGATTTCAAACGGACGGCTGCAGCGGTTATAGCACTCTTTACATCCTAGTTTTTTAATAGCTATTAGCAATGCAGTTCACCAAAATGTACAGTCAGATTATTTTGTGTCTGAAATTACTGATTTTTAATAAACAGTGTCCGCTGCATTTTAAATAACTGTCGTTTTAATTACTTCGTTGCACCATTTTCTTGTAGAAATTGTACTATTCTCATGTGGCCACGCTCGGATGATATGTAAAGTGGTGTCCGACCATCATATATCAGCGCGATTAATTTCGGCTTTGTATTTTACTAGAGATTTCCCACGACCGTTCCAAGACGCTGCGTAAAGCGACGTCACATTTTTTCCATTAGCGCGATTGATTTCTGCCCCGCATTTCATTAGACAATCGACAATTTTTTCGTGGTCTTTTGTGGCAGCATTATAAAGCGGTGTCCGACCGTAATTATCAGCGCGATTGATTTGAGCACCGCATTTCACTAGACAATCAACCATTTTTCTATTACCGTCTTCGGTGGCTACACATGAAGCGGTGTTCTACCTTTTGCATCAGCACCATTGGTTTCGGCTCCCTGTTTCATTAGGTATTCGACAATTTGTTCGTGGCCCTCAAAGAAAGCTACGTCAAGTGGTGTCCGACCATAATGATCAGCAGTAGCTACGATTGATTTCGGCTCCCCATTTCACTAGACATTCGACAGTTTTTTCGTAACCTTGAGAGGAAGCTGCGTAAAGCGGTGTCTCACCATTTGTATTAGCACGATTGATTTCAGCTCCGCATTTCAACAGGCATTCGACAATTTTTTCGTGACCTTGAGAGGAAGCTGCGTAAAGCGGTCTCACCATTTTTAGTAACGCGATTGATTTCGGCTCCGCATTTCACCAAGCATTCGACAATTTTTTCGTGACCTTGAGAGGAAGCTGCGTGCAGTAATGTGTTCTCATATTTATTAGCTGGATTAATTTTTGCTCCGCATTTCACCAGGCATTCGACAATTTTTTCGTGACCTTGAGAGGAAACTTCGTAAAGCGGTGTCTCGCCATTTTCAGTAGCGTGATTAATTTCGGCTCTGCATTTCAATAGGCATTCGACAATTTTTGCGGTGTCCAACCATATTCATTGGCGCGATTGATTTCGGCTCCACATTTCACGAGGCATTCGACAATTTTTTCGTGGCCGAACGAGGAAGCTGTTACGAATTGAAAATTCGCAGTAGCTATTTCGGTTTTTATTGGCATTCTCGGATCTGATTACATTTTGTTTACTCGTTTTTTTTTTCGTTTCGTCATTTCGTGCATTGGGTGGTTGGGTTGGGCACGGTGGCAATGAAGGACAACTTTGGTGGAGGGTTTTGTCCCGAGCTTTTGACTCCCCCAGTCGCAAGACTGTCGCGATGATTCTGAGCTTGGAGGGGCTCAGATGAGTGTTTCAGCCTCGCTGTTGTAGATCGGTCTTTTGGATCGTTTCAGCTTGGTTCTTGCTATAAGGAACTGGATGGATCGCGCCATCCCAGAGCTTCACTCTGAAATTTGATTTTCGTTCGTTTTGTTATTTTTGTTCGCGAATTTCATTTGCTTACCTAGGTGGGAACAAACGCCGTGGAGCGTCCCCTAGAATTTTCATCATTTCTTGAATCCTGATAGACTTGTTTTTTTTTTCTTTTGTTAATAACCATCGCATCCACTCATTAGTTACATCGATTAGGGATTTTCGTCGGAATTCGACGTTTCGTAAGTTTGCCACTAGAGGGCCAAACTTCCGTGAACTCTCGCTTCGTTACCTTGCCACGTCATCGCAGGTGGAAGGGAATCCATTTTGCTTTGGTACTCCGTGTTGAATGGTGTTGGGGGATAGTGCTTTCCTCTTTTGCAGTTCAGTTTAGCAACCTTTTACTCGTCGTTACGTTTGGAATCGCATTCGTCGGATCTGTTGGGTCCCCTAAAAGGTGCTATCGCTTAGAGCGCATTTGTGAGCTGCAAGAGAAATAGTGCATTCGAGCACTACGACTTTGTCGGATTTTTGGTTAAGGGCACTAGACCATCTCGCTAAAATCGGAGAAGCTGCAGTCGATCCGCAGGTAAATCTTTTGATTAGGTTTTCCCTGGCATCCCTTCGAACAGTGGTTATGGTTATTTTCATGTTAACGATAATATTTTACTACTTACCAAGTGCATGTGACATGTGGAACCCTTGGGGTTGACTGAATTCGAACATCTTCTCAGACTTTGCTCTCCTTGCAGCTTTTTTGTTTTGTTGCTGATCTTATGATCCCCGAGATTGAGAATCGGAGCCAGTTTTGAGTGGGAGAACGAATTCTATGAATTCCGACTGTCGTGGGCAGTCGTGAGCCCTCCTAGAACAGCTGGAGAGTATCATCGGTTGGACAGGCCGTCACACAAACCTCGACTCGACATCGCCCTGGAAATTCTCTGCGACGCCGCTGTTTCGACATCTCGTCATTGATACCGCAGGAGACAGGTGCCCATGGTACTTCCATTCCATCTTATTAGATTTAAGTATTAATCGACTTACCTTCTTCATTGTATCGTAAACCGTTTCGAATTTTGGTATAACTAGCACTAGCACATAACCTATTAATAACAACCGGTAAGACTGTGACGCTCCGCTCTACACTTATACCTTCGTACGATCGTTAGAACTACCGAGCGTGTGGCCTACTTCGTCTTTTCCATTGCCCTCGAAATATTTAATCGAATCGTTACGACTTCAGCTAATTTGTTCGCTTCGTAAACCTCGCTCGTATCGCTCGTATCTCTCGTAATTAGTTCGTCGCCTTTAGTAATTAAACCTCGTTCGTATCGCTCGTAATTCTCGCAATTAGTTCGTCGCCTTTAGTACTTAAACCTCGTTCGTATCGCTCGTAATTCTCGTAAATAGTTAGTCGCGTTAGTAATTAAACTTCGTTCGTATCGCTCGTAATTATCGTCCATAGTGCGTCGCATTAAATCGTTAACATCTTACTCATTTATTTTTTTTGCTTAATTATCTAGTTATTTCTCACTCCTAGTTTTCTTTTTTTAATTAGTGACCTTAGGTTTTATTGTAGTCAAATATTTGTCACCTTGCAATTACAATAGTTATAATTTTTCCGGTTTTTTTGTTGTAATTGTGTATTAATACAAAACTGGTGGCGCCCTGGCGACGTCGCTACACAAAACAGTGTGCTCTCTTCTTTGCGAACCTCTAGCGACCTGACCCTTTGCACCCGCAGGAACTCACCCCTTCTCCACGAGCAGGCCGGCAGCGAGCTGTGAGTTTGGCTCGTAACAAAGCTGCGTAAACTGGTGTCCAACCACAATCATTGGGGCGATTGATTTCGGCACCGCATTTCACCAGGCATTCGACAATTTTTTCGTGACCTTCAAAGGAAGCTGCGTAGAGCGGTGTCCAACCCATGGTAGAAGGAGACATGGTACAGGCATCCGATGTACCAATTTAAAAATCGTCTGCGCATCCATTTGTGACGTTAGGTGGCATCAACGACCTTGTGACTCTTGTGAGCTTCGCTAGGGAAGTCTAGGGAATTTCAGCTTCAATACGTCAATTAGTTGTCGACTAATGAAAGTTAATGAAATTAATAATGATAAAAATGTAATTATTGAAAGTTGAACGGTCCAAAAATGTGGTTTCGTATCAATTTCGATAAATGTGGGACATCAGCAAATGCAAATACGAATTTGCGCTATCTCTTGAGTGTTGAAAGGAGGTTTTTGACATATTTATGCTCAGTTCTCTCCACAAACCTAAATTCTGCGATCACATCACACATACGACTGCAACAACTGAATAATCACAAATAAATTTTTGCAATTTAAAGAATTTATTTTAAATTGCGCGCTAATTTCACCCCACCTGACGTCACACCCGATGCGTATGCCTATACCATGTCTCCTTCTACCATGTGTCCAACCATTATAAATCGCGCGATTGATTTCGGCTCCGCATTTCACCAGGCATTCAACAATTTTTTTGTGGCCGAACGAGGAAGCTGCGTAAAGCGGTGTCTTACCACTTCTATCAGCGCGATTGATTTTGGCTCCGCATTTCACCAGGCATTCGACAATTTTTTCGTGACCTTCAGAGGAAGCTGCGAAAAGCGGTGTCCGATCATAAATATCGTCAGTGCGATTGATTTCGGCTCCGCATTTCACCAGGCATTCGACAATTTTTTCGTGACCTTGAGAGGAAGCTGCGTAAAGCGGTGTCTCACCATTTTTAGTAAAGCGATTGATTTCGGCTCCGCATTTCACCAGGCATTCGACAATTTTTTCGTGACCTTCAGAGGAAGCTGCGTAAAGCGGTGTCTGACCATATCTATTTGCGCAATTGATTTCGGCTCCATATTTAATTAAACGTTCGATAACTTTTTGCCGGCCGTAACTGACATTTGCATTAAGCGATTCTTGACCGTTACCACCACTACCATTAATTCCGACATTTACGTATGTTGACACAATATTTACATTTATGTTACAGTTAGAAGAATTTAAATTAGAAGTTCCAAATTCGGCAGGTCAGTTACTGATACATTCTGCATCTTGGAATCGTCTAAATAAGACTTTAAATTTATTAATCCTGAATGGTGTGAAAGTGGACGTTCCGGATAGAAGTGGTCTGCTACCGATTCATTATGCTTGTGGCAATGCCAAATTAGAAGCAGTAGAATTTCTGGTAAAGAATGGTGCGGAAGTCAATGTTCCAGATAAAGATGGTCTGCTGCCCATTCATTATGCATGTAAAAATTTTCTCTTTGGATGGCCAATTATACCATTTTTGAGAGAAAAAGGTGTTAACGTAGATTCCCCAGACCCAAATGGTCGACTGCCGATTCATTATGCCTGTGAATATGGATATGTGACTGAAGTAGAGTCAATAGTAGCGAATGGAGCCAAAGTGGATGCTCCGGATGGAAATGGTCGGCTGTCCATGCATTACGCGTGTTTAAATGACGCTGATTGGTACAGAATTATACCATTTTTGATAGAAAAAGATGCGAAAGTGAATTCTCCAGATGGGGATGGTCGACTACCCATTCACTATGCCTGTGAACATGGAAATTTAGATCTGGTGAAATTCCTTGTAACGAATGGTGCGAAAGTGACGGTTCGGGACGGTGATGGGCACCTGCCGGTGGATTACGCAAGTAAAAATGAAAACTTTTCTAAAGAAATCACTAAATTTTTGACAGAGCAAAATGAAATTCCGTAAGTCTAAAACATCGTACCGAACAAAATAATTACAGAATTAGTCACAAACAAGTATAGTGGTGGAAATACGCAGGTAAAACTTGTCCTCTTTCTATCTTATGCACTTTGTGTGACAAAAAATTACCAAATTTTGAGTATGTCGTCGAAGTTTTTTTGTCAAATTTTTAAATTTATCATCATAATTATTTGTCAGACGAAATCTTGGCAACAGCTAACTTAAACAGATATATAAATGCGCATCATGTGGATGAAAAAAGTATTAGGTGGTATGAGTGTGAGTAGAAGTGTCCATGGACAAGGTATGGGGGCGCAAACTGTCTATATAAAAATGAAATAATTTAAAAATTAAATGTACCCTTTTTTGTGATTGGTTTTTGGAAACTTGATAATAAATTTGTTTTGTAAATTTTAATTTTATTTTAAAAGAAAAAAATTTCCGAAACTACAGTACTTCAAATCTAGATAAAAAGGTGTGTCCTCGCTATGATGGTGTGATAAACTCTGGATGCGTAGATCCCTCTGATGGATGGTAATCGGAGTGAAAATAATACGAGCGACCTCCTTTAACACTTTATTCCATTGCTCTATTTTACCGCATTCGTTACCATGGAACTATTGACCGTCCTGGTTCGATCTTTTGTGTCCCGTATATAGGGTCGACTTTACTTAACACCAGTCAAACGTGTTTATTGAATGGTGAGGTGTAAAGTGGCAGAATGACACATTTTACATTTGGTAAAGTACCCATCTTCCTAGGTTAGATAAGCGAAATCTGCAATTATTCTAGGTGTTTGACTTGCAGAGGGACAGTGTGAAGAAAGCAAGAAGCTAAGAGAAAGAGATAGTTAAGTTGGGAAAGATAGAAAGAAGGGTTGTAATGTTCCGATTGGAGCGTCGACAAAGAACAGAAAGAAAGGGAATGGAGGTCGTTTTAGACAACAACACAACCGTAAAAAGAACAATAATATGAAAATTAAGCATTATCCAAAGTAATTTAATAAATTTAAATTAAAATTGAGAAAATCAGGCAACCAATTATACATATTTTAGATAACAAGTTATGATCTCCACCCACAAGTAAATAAAAAAAAGAAAAATTAAAAAAAAAAGAAATGTGGTGTCGTAGGACACCAGGTAGGAACGAAGTTCCTTCGGTTAATGTAGAATCGACACAATTTGCAAAAAAAACGTGCTCAATTTTATGTAGGTTTTCTTGATTTTTCTCTTAAATTTTGCTGATTAGTTTTTATTTAAGTACAGGAAAGTATTTAGGAAATTCAGTATTTTAGGAAATAATAAATTACGTAAAATAAAAAAAAAATCGTAATTCAAATTATCAACTAAAATTATCAACTAAAATAACAAAATATGACTCTTTATTTTTGTTTGACAACATAAAATTACATAGAAATAGAAATAATTACAAAAAAAAGTTTATTATTATTATTATTATAAGTATTTCTGTTTGACAACATAAAATTACATAGAAAAAATAGAAATAATTACAAAAATAAACTTTTATTATTATTATAAGTAATTCTTTTTAATCAGTCTCGTCATTAAATTCCATTGCTGAAACTATTGGCTTGTGGTAACTAAAATATGATACATATGTTTGTGATTCTATTTTATGCAAATACCTCGAAAAAACAGCATCAATAGTAGTACCGTATCTCGTTGTCGATTCTTTTGGATTGTTATTTATATGTAATTTAAATTTTTCTAAAAGAAATGTTCTTAGTGGTTCTGATTTTTCATCTGCAAAATTGATATTAAAGTCTCCAAATAAAACCATCGGAAGCTGATGGAAGTTTCCACCAAGTATATCAGGAACCTCATCAGTATATTCTATCAGCGCTCGATGGATGAAATCTTTCACATCTTCAATTTTTGTATTTGGTGAAATGTAGACTATTACCATGACAATTTCAACTCCGTTGTTCGTTTTACATATAGCTGAACAAATGTCTCCAACTCCTGTACGTCTAACATTCACATCGCCAGTATTTTTTAAGATTATGTCCATATTTGGTGTTAAAATATTAGTAGTGTCATTGCTATTTTGATAGATAGCAACTCCACCTGTACGTACGTAATCTCGCTTGAAATGGGCAATGCAGTTGAAATTAGGAATATCAAACTGTTCGTCATTGCTCATCCACGTTTCGGAAAGAAGTAAGAAATTAGTTTTTTGAATTACAGAATCCGACAAATCCAATCTATGGCTTTGTAGACTTTGACAATTTAATGTGGTTATGGAAATGCCATTTTTAGTTTGAAGAAAATCCAAGATCGTTTGGGCTTTAGTGTGTAAAGGATTTAACGACAATCTCTGAAATTCTTGCAGCAAACCTTTCGTTGATGATGCTTGCACTCGATTATGGTGGAATCTGAAGTTAGTTGGATCGTTATCGGGTGTTACAATAAATAAACCTTCGTTTTTATTACTATATTTATTATTGTTTTGACGATTTGAAATTATATGAAAATAAACGTGCTACTCACGAGTAAAATGTATCTATAATGTGAGTATTCGCCACGTGCTTGTCCATGAATTCATGAGTATATACTATGAATTGGCGGGGTGGAGTGGTAATAGAGAAAGAAGGGATGAGAGAACGAAAAGTGTTTAGGACATTTTTTATATTTTGTCGGTGCGGTCTCCACGTGTTGGCGGTGTCTTTGTAAGGCAGCTGCACGTGTGCGGACCTACAATCTTGTGTGGCGGCACAATAACACGTCGGTAAGCAGAGTATAAATAAGTCGTTTCGTGGTGCAGTTGTCAGCATACATGCCCTGAGAGGAAAGGGACGTGGGTTCGAATCCCACAGAGGCACAACATTTTTTTCTCTGCTTACCTACACTTGTAAGGCGGCCGCCGTCTGAAGTGCGGCTCGCACCACCTCTGGTCGCGCCTGCGCACGTATCATTTAACGGTTTTATTCCACGGAGTTTCCGTTACGGTTTTAGGATCACATTTGTTTCAGTTCGGTCGTGCAGCAAAATTCCTATCTCCTCCAAGCCTGCCGTAAGGAACTTTGTTCCAATAATATGCTACGACCATAATAACAATTGAAATTGTATAATTCCTTTAATACTATATACAACGACTGATTTTGTTGTAATTCAAGATGACAAACGTAAGTTATTAAGACATTTTTTTAAATAAAATTATTTCTAATAAAATTTACAGGCTACGAAAAGCACAAATATCGACGAAGTGGATGATCCAGCTGAAAACTCTTCCTCAGTAAGTCATGCTTTATTTATCGTTTTTGTGTGGCTTCTATGTATTATTAGCATAGGTAATTTTGGGGTACGTTCAGTTTTAAAATGATAGTGTCAATGCATTAGGAGTATTGACTAAATAAGCAACCAGTCACTATAATGTGAGGTGCAATTATTTCCTAGGCTTTATAACCATAATTTCCTTGTTAAATATTATTGCGACGTCGTCATGATATTCCAATTCTGTAGAATTTTTTTAGCAATGGAAGGGTTCACAAAAAAATTCGCAACAGGGTTATTTTTTAAATCTATGCTACAATATTTTGTGGAATAATAAATAAAGTATGCGCTTTCTTGTGGTCTCACTTAAATCACAATTTAAAAATACAGAATGTTTAAAACAATCCTAAAACTCTGTAATTTTCCAATTTCGTTGTTTCAGTTTTTTCAGAAAGAACATATTTTATTTATTTATTTTTGTTCTTATTATTCTAATATATCGATGTGTCTCTTAAAAAAGTAAAAAAAAAACAATAATAAAAAACAAAATCAGATGCAGTAATAAAATACAAGTGTTCTATTTGAAAAAAAAAACCTAAAATATTGATATTTAGAAATTGTAATAATCAAATATTTTTATAAACACCCTGTATGCGACAATGTCATTCCGTGTATACCACAACAAAGTGCATACATTTATTTATCTCTCCATAAAATATTATAACACAGACTTTAAAAATAACCAAACTGCGATTTTTTTTTGTGCAGAAAATTGGAATAATGTGGCAACGTGGCATTAAAATTTCAAAGAACTGTAGTAAAGTATGTGTTGCGCCTTAAAAACAGAACACTCTGTAGAGCTAAAAATAATTTTAGAGCATAGTCCTGAAAGAACCGCACAACTTTGGTCTTTACCTTTTTTCTGACTCACTCTGTATATCTTAATTAAAAAAGAGTAATATTATTTAATGTATTGAAAAATTATATTCTTTTGTATAAAAAAAAAAAAACAAAATTGATGTCAGTTCATCTATCCATTTAATAGACTAACGGGCCAATTTCAAGTTGGTTTGCAATTAATTGCAAGCGCCGTTGCTATAGTGATCTCGTAGAACATTATATACAAACCATTATATTTTTGCGAGGTTACCATAGCAACGCAGCTTGCAATTAATTGCAAACCAACTTGAAATTGGCCCGTAAGTTATGTATATTGAAATAATATTTATTTTTAAAAATAATTGAGATATTTTAGTGGAACAGGTACACCCTATATACGGCAACACTGGTTTACCTGCCATATGAAAATTAATGTGGCTAAACACATCCGTACGTACAGAATAGGACGCTAATAAGAAAGTCAAAGACCAAAGTTGTACGGTTCTTTGAGGACTACACTCTAAAATTAAAAACTAAGCAACACTTGTGTATTAAGGCGTAACATACAACTTACTTTTTGAAATACAACACTTGTACAACTTTACATATTTTAATTGACCTCTCAAACCACAGTCTACTATTGAAGTTCGGATGCGACGTTGCCACGTAATGTCAATTTTCTTTGAAATTTTTTGGCAAACATTTTTCATTTTTTATTCAAATGTTGAACAAAAAAACGAAGAATTTTAATTCATCCGACAGTCTAAAAATTGAAATTATACAACTTAGAATTTTTTGCTATTTTCGTTGACTTCTACTTTCAAGGATTTGGACATTGCCTCTCAGAGGACTCCAGATCTTCCTCAGTAGTGTTATTAGAGTTGCATTATTCAA